GACGTGAAGGAACTGGGACTGGGCAGGCCGTCGGTGCGGAGCCCTCTGGGCAGCAACGAGGGTCCTCGCCTCCCGCAGACGATGCAGTCACGGCGGCCCCGGTGGGTGACGCGTCTGTGCAGAGTGGGCCCATGGATGACGGCCAGGCGCAGCAGACCCCTCCGTCGCACGCGCCAGAGAACGTTGGCGGCGTGCCGTCTGCTTCTGCCGCGCCCACCAGCGAGACGCCAAACGCTGCCGCCAAGGAAAATGGCGCAGACCCCCAAACTGCGGCGGGCTCGGACGGCGGCCACGAGACACCCAGCAACGCCGCCACGGCACCCAGCAACGCCGTCACGGCACCCAGCAACGCCGCCACGGCACCCAGCAACGCCGCCACGGCACCCAGCAACGCCGCCACGGCACCCACGTCTCAGGCGCCCGGGCAGCCAGGCACCCCGCCGACACGCGACGCTGCGCTGCACTTAAGCAACGGCTCCGCTGCTTCCGAGAACATCACGGGACTGTTCCAGCTGAGCACAGGCAGCGACGGCGCTCTGCGTGGGTGTGTGCCACGGATTTTGCTGCTTGCCCTGCTGGGGCTGTGGGGCACGGCGGCTCTCTGATGCATGAGAGAGGGTGAATAACATTTGCGAAGCCTCGTGAAAAGTGTGCGGTGCGGGTGTCCAGCGACACTCATTGTGTTTTTTCGAGGCCCCATATTTTTCTTCTCTTTTCACTTTAATTTTTTTCTTCTCGTTTGTGCTTTGCTGGAGTGATCGGCACCTCCGCTCCTTTTCTTTTTTTTATTGCTCTACAGCTCGCTTTCTATACGCACCGCCACGAGCAACGAATTCACTCTCCTGTTTTTTTTTTGCTGTTCCCCACACGCGCGGTGCAGGCCGCATTGCTGTGCGCCCCGCACGGGCTTGACGCAACTGCCCGGTTGAGGCGCAGGCCGAGCGCCGCATGGAGTGTGAGAGGGACGTCTGGGCTGATGCAACATGGGCGATGCTTTCCTTTTTACTTTTTTTTTCATTCATGCAGGTAATATAAATACGCACACACTCACAGTCCTCTTGTGCTTATGGACAAGTGTGAGGAACAAAAAAAACCTGCCGAAGTAACTTTGCTTTATCTTTTTGCTTTACCACTTTTCTTTGTTTCCCGGGCGTCCTGTTGGATTTAAACCTCTTTTTACATGCTTTAATTTTGTTTGTTTGTTTTTTGTTTCATGGGGCGACTCGCTGCGGCTCATGTTGAGGTTGTGCGCCGTGTCTGCCGCTGCGCGTCTCCGTGTCCCGTTTGGCCCCACCGCCGCTGGCTGTGCCGCCGACACGCCCTCACCTCCCCCTCCTCCTTCTCCCCGCTAGAGGCAGCGGTAGTCGACGGCGAAGACTCTTTTTTTGTTGTCAGCCGCGGCAGAGCAGCCGCAGGCTGTGCGGCGGGCTTTGGGCCCGCCCCGTCCCTCTCGCTGCGTGTCTTGTTGGGTGGGCGCTGTGCGGCCGGCTTCTCCTCCGCGTGTCTTCCCCCTCGCAGGACGGGGGCGTCGCGCACTTCGTCTGCGCCGTGCCGTCGGCTGCGGCGTGTGTGCGGGGCTCTTGTGTGTGTGTGTGTGCGTGGAGTGCGGCCGCGATGGGTTTGTCCGTCGCCGCAGACATCCATCCTTGCCTCCGCGACTGCTGCGACTCACGCCAGGCCCAACCGAACGACACTTCCTTAGAGCCATGTGCCGGCCACGCCGCAGCATGCCACTTCTCCCACTGGCGGTGCTCCTCCTGCTGCTGGTGGCGATGCGCTGCGCCGGCGGGTGCCTCGCCGCCGCTCCCGCCCAGAGGCCCCGCTGCGTGTCTGGGGAGACGGCGCTGGGAGTCGCGCCGGCGACCGCGGTGGTGCGAGAGGTGCCGCGGAAGGGGCAGGGTGCGATGCAGGCGTACACCGTCGCCACGCAGACTGCAGATGGAAGCGAGGGCTGGGCGCCCATCCGCGTCAAGGTGTCCGCGAGGGACTTGGAGGACCCGCTGAGGCACTGCAGCG